GTCTGCTGTTACCACCGCAGCCACGCCCACCCAATGGGCCACGCCCACCCGGCACCTGACGATGCATAAGTAGGTTTTGGGTTGCAGTTTGGGCACTTGGTCTCTAAAAGGTTCGCGGTCACTGTTCTATGTTATTCCAGAGAAAATGTCTGTCCAATCTCTTTTTAAACATTTCCAGTGATGACGAATATAATGGAGAATTATTGTCCCCACTAAAAGGAATATTTGGGGCATGCCTCGTTCTTTTCTCTTGCTACTGGGAGTTGAAGTCCACATGTCTTCAAGGCACCAAGATTGAGAAATTACTGTTCCAGACTGAATTTCAATCAGAATCAACCTAGAAGGGACCTTAGAGGTCTTCAAGTCCAACCCCCTGCTCAGGCAGGAGACCCTAAGCCATTATAGACAAATGGCTGTCCAGTTGCTTCTTAAAACCTCCATTGTTGGAGCATTCACCACTTCTGGTGGCAAGCCATTCCACTGGTTAATTGTTCTGTCAGGAAATTTCTCCTTAATTCTAGGTTGGTTCTCTCCTTGACTAGTTTCCATCCATTGCTTCTTATCCTGCCTTCTGGGGCTTTGGAGAATAGCTTGACTCCCTCTTCTTTGGGGCAGCTCCTCAAATATATGAAATATTGCTATCATGTCACCCCTAGTCCTTCTCTTTGTTAGACTAGACATATCTCATTCTCTCAGTAGTTTAGCCTCCAGTCCCTTGATCATCTTTGTTGCTCTTCTCTGCACTCTTTCTAGAATCTCAGCATCCTTTTTCTATCATGCCGACCAGAATTGGATGCAATATTAATACTAACACAGTAGATACAGTTAAAAATGCAGATGTAGTCTCTGTGAATGCTTAGGATCAGTACGTTGTGTAATGGGAATGCCTTGATTTCTATGTTTCCTCTTTGTTGGGATCACTCTGAGTTTTACACGAGAGAGGAGTCCTACTACAGAACCTACTACAGATGAGTCCTACTACAGTCCTACTACAGAGATCATACTATCTAATCAGATAGCCTGCTTTTGAACCCAGAGGTTCTATTTGACCGAATAACAGAGTTTGAAAGGGACCTTAGAGATCTTCTAGTCCAGTGGTCCCCAACCCCCGGTCTCTGGACCGGGACGGGGCCATGGCATGCCAGCAACCGGTCCGCACAAACAAGCAAAGCCCCATCTGTGGAATGCAGGCAGCACACAAAACCACACACTCTCCGGTCTGGTGGAAATGCCTCTCTCCATGGAACCGGTCCCTGTTGCCCAAAAGGTTGGGGACCTCTGGCTTAGAAGGTCGTAAAAGCAAAACATTAAAAATGAGCAAAACATGAGATAAGTTAGGAACCAATCCCAAATGGTTGCTCAAATTTCTTAAATCCTAGGGCCATTGGTGGCTCACGCTAACCAGGGATTCTGAGAGTCGAAATCCAGCGTATTCAGGTGTCCCAGGATGGGAAGGTTGGTATAAAGGCCTCTCCCCACACACTTTCTGCAGTTTTAGGGAGACCCACAGATCTGGGACACACTTTAAGGCAGACATGTTAAACACAAGGCCCGGGGGCCGGATGCGGCCCGCGAAGTGGTTTCAGTGGCCCGCGAAGCCATCCTGGAAACAGTGAGGGAACGGCCCCCACTGCCTTGGCCCTGGCCCAGGCCGGCCGGGAGCCAATGTACAATTTTGTGGTGGCCATCTTGGCACTTGCCCCGGTGGACCATGCCTTGACACTTGCCCCGGTCCCCCCCCTTCTGCCAGAGACCCTCAGATCTGTCCCACTCCTGCCCAGGCCCCCATTAGCACCCTTGACGCGAATGATGTAGAACTGGCCACGCCCACCCAGTAGGCCACACCCACCCCATCCACGCCCACGCAGTAGGCTGCACCCATCCTGGCCACACCCACCCAGCCCCCCAAGGGCAACCGCAATGCTGATGCAGCCCTCAATGAAATTGAGTTTGACACCCCTGCTTTAAGGGGTGTACAGGTCCCACATGAAAATGCTTTAAAACAGGGGTCCCCAGTCCCCGATCTGCAGTCCGCCAGCAACTGGTCCGCACAATCAAGCAAAGCCCCATCCGTGAGATACAGGCAGCACACAAAACCACACACCCTCCACCCTCTCTCCACGGAACCTGGTGTTGGGGACCTGAGTTCTAATCCAACCCCCTGAGATTTCATTCTCCAGCAGCAAATGTAAGGAAAGAGAGAAACCTTGGCTGCTTCTCTAGTGTCTATTTTGGGAAGGAGAATTTCATCCTGAATTTTATCCCAAGAGGTTTTATCCCCAGGAAAACCTTTCCGACAAACAAAATCAACGGGGAAGCCAGATTCACGCTCACAACTGTGTGTGGCTAACTTAACCCCTGCGGTGATTACCCTTAACCACCGTGGCCAGAAAAGTTGCAAAATGGAGACAAACTCACTTAACGACTGTTGGAAATGTGGGGTTCAGGTGTGATCGTTAAGTCAAGGACCGCCTACCATTCATTTGCTCCAGCGTGGCATGTGAAGCACAGCAATTGTGTTAACACGGGTTCAAGGTTTAGCTTTTTGTGACAAGTACCCAAATATTGTTAGGACAGGACAGAAAAAACAGAAGAACAGAGTTGGAAGGCACCTTGGAGATCATCTAGTCCAACCCCCTGCTCAGGCAGGAAACCCTATACCATTTCAGACAAGTGGCTGTCCAGTCTCTTCTTAAAAACTTCCAGTGTTGGAGCATTCACCGCTTCTGGAGGCAGGTTGTTCCACGGATTAATTGTTCTGTCAGGAAGTTTCTCCTTAGTTCTAGGTTGCTTCTCTCCTTGATTAGTTTCCATCTGTTGCTTCTTGTCCTGCCTTCAGGTGCTTTGGAGAATAGCTTGACTCCCTCTTCTTTGGGGCAGCCCCTGAGATATTGGAACACTGCTATCATGTCCCCCCTCGTCCTTCTTTTCATTAAACTAGATATACCCAATTCCAGCAATTCTTTAGCAAGGAAGACCATAACTATAAAATCCCACTGATTTCAACAACCGGAGGTCTCACAGCGTTCCAGACAATTTGATTTGGAAAGAATCAACCCTTTTCTGCAGCAAATATGTTTGATTGTTTATGCTGCTATATACTGAATATTTCCTTCTGCTCTGAGAAATAGGATGAAGGCAGTAAAAATCCTCTCCTGTGTTTACAGAGAGGATTTTTATTGCCTTCAATGAATTTATCTCTGCGCGAAACGAAATATTCAATATACAGTAGTATACCCACAGTTCAGAAGAAGCGGAAAAAATGAACAAAAGAGGTTGACAAGCATTTAAGGCGCAGGAAAATAATGTTTAAAAGAAAAAGGATTTTTTTCTAAGCATGGGTTAGACTGCTCCCTTTATATTAAAGATTTATTATGTTTTATCAATGAGAATAAAATACAAAACAGAAGATCTATACACCTAATAGTAACCACCAAAAATACTTGCGTACAAAAAAGGAAAAAAGAAAAAAAAACAACCCAAATATCAAATAAGTCCAACATTAAACATAGAAAAAAAACAATCCACCCTGATTGGATGCCAGTATAATATTTGGGCTCACTGATTGACTGGTTTTTTTAAAAAAATTCTTTTTCTTTCACTTTTTATATATATTAGATGTTGGGGCGATTTGATGATTAGACAGAGATCTCCTCATTGGAAATATTTGTTTATCTAATATATTTTTCTTGTTAAATAAGGATGAGAAAGTTTATAACTATTTCCAAACCCAGTATATAAGGAGAGGAGAATTTATCTGGGTTTTTTTTAATTTTTCTTTTCAACATCCAGCCAAAAATTCATATTTCTATATTTTTATGTGTAATACTTATATATTTCTAAAAATTAGAAATGCGCCACAGCAAAAATTTCTTTCCCCCCCCTTATGGCAAGACTCTTAGTTCATCCAGAAATAAAGCTTACGTTATACTTCCAATAAATAGATAACAGACAGATAAAATTCACTCACACACCTATACGTGACTTTAAATAAAAGGAACAGCTATTGCAAGGAAAGGGGAAAAGAATGAATAGATAGAAGCGTGAATAAATAACGTAACGTAACATAGATTTGTAATATGGGGCACACAATTAGAATAGAATAGAATAGAATAGAATAGAATAGAATAGAATGGAATGGAATGGAATGGAATGGAATGGAATGGAATGGAATAGAGAATAGAGTAGAATAGAGTAGAATAGAATAGAATAGAATAGAATGGAATGAAATAGAGAATAGAGAATAGAGTAGAATAAAACAGAATAAACAGATTGTAGAATAGAATAGAATAGAATAGAATAGAATAGAATAGAATAGAATAGAATAGAATAGAACTGGAAGGGACCTTGGAGGTCTTCTAGTCCAGCCCCCTGCTCAAGCAGGAGAACCTATATCATTTCAAACATTATTTTCCATTTTCTCAACTTCTCTTTTTAACCTGTTCGTCAAAGCAAGATATACAATCCACGCAACTTTAAAAAAGAGATTGGACAGCCATTTGTCTGAAATGGTACAGGGTTACCTGCCTGAGCAGGGGGTTGGACTAGATGACTTCCAAGGTCCCTTCCAACTTTATATTATTATTATTACTATTATTAATAATAATAATAATAATAAATTATATTTCATTATTAACAAAAAGGAACATCTGTTGCAAAAAAAGGGGGCGGGATGAGAAGAACGAATAAAACATATGCCAATAAATAACACAGCGTAGCATCGTAAGGCAAGGATGCCTGCCAGCATTTATCCCATTTTTTTTCTTTTCTCAAATTCTCTTTTGAACCTGGTCCTCAGGGAAAAAAAAAAAACAACCCGAGGGATACCAGGGAAACCGAGGGAACACAACTGGTGGCTAGTGCTGGATTTGAAGGGAAGTTTTAAAAACACACACGTGGAGAGAAGGAAGAGAAGGAGCATACATATGTAAGAATAAAAAGAGCAGGCTAGCAACTTAACAAGCAGACAATTGCAGCTGAAAAAAGAGTGAAGAAGTTACCGGGATGGAGAAGTTGAAGAAGCAGATGGAATGTCGAGATTTGGTTCCAGTAGAATAGACGGACTCTCCAAAATTTGTAGGCTGATGTTGTATTTTTCCTTCCAGGGGTTCAGCACCCCCTTCCTTTCAGCCTGTAGGAGAGGGGCTGGTAAGGTTGCAACTTGGATTTTTCCACCCTTTGGGAGAGAATTTCTGTTCTCCTTTTTATTGACGCCCCGTTTCCTCCTGTCATTCAGCCTCAGCTCAGCCTACGCTGAGCCAATAAGGAAAAAGCAAAGCTTTAAATCAGAAAGAAAGAAAAAAAAAGCATTGCTCCGGCTTGGAAGTGCCACGCCAGAAAACCAGGAGAAAAGGGGGAAAAAAAACTGACCCAAGCGTTGGGCAGGGCTTGGGAAGGAGGGTGTTTTGAACCCAGGTCCGAAGAATAATTTGGAGATCCAACTGGAGCTGGGATTGCACGAGAATAAATAAAAATGAGATCCATTCTTCTCTCCTCTGTGAGGAGAGAAGAAATACTTATTTCTAAAAGCAAAAGAGTTTGCTTTGGGAGCGGGTTGCAAAGAAATGGGGTACAGCGGCAGATTTTTATAGCAGGAGCTTGTCGGGGTGTCACAGGCTGGTTCTAGGGTGACACTTGAGGGGCATGTGTCTGTGTCTCTCTCTGTGTGTGTGTGTGTGTGTGTGTGTGTATGTGTGTGTGTGTAACTTATGTTTATTCATGTGCAATTCCCTCTGGGAGATATAATTGAATGAACTCTTGTTTGTGTTTGCAGACCTCCTCCTTTGAGATGTGGATTAAGTCTGGGTGACTTATTTGAGGAAGCTGGCTAATTTTAGTGGATTCACTTAGTTTCAGCTTGACTTGTCAACGATCTAGTGGAGACACTAGTTCTCAGACCCTTGTGGATTAAAATATGAGCCAGCCGGGTGCTGCAGCTGCCAAAAAGGCCAACGCAGTGCTAGGCTGCATTAACAGAGGGATAGAATCAAGATCACGTGAAGTATTAATACCACTTTACAAGGCCTTAGTAAGGTCACACTTGGAATACAGCATCCAGTTTTGGTCATCATGATGTAAAAAAGATGTTGAGACTCTAGAAAGAGTACAGAGAAGAGCAACAAAGATGATTAGGGGACTGGAGGCTAAAGCATATAAGGAACAGCTGCTGGAATTGGGTATGTCTAGTTTAGTGAAGAGAAGGATAAGGGGTGACATGACAGCAGTCTTCCAATATCTCAGGGGCTGCCCCAAAGAAGAGGGAGTCAAGCTATTCTCCAAAGCATCTGAAGGCAGGACAAGAAGCAACAGATGGAAACTAACCAAGGAGAGAAGCAACCTAGAACTAAGGAGAAACTTCCTGACAGAACAATTAACCAGTGGAACCACCTGCCTTCAGAAGTGGTGAATGCTCCAACACTGGAAGTTTTTAAGAAGAAACTGAAGAACCATTTGTCTGAAATTGTATAGGGTTTCCTGCCTGAGCAGGGGGTTGGACTAGATGACCTCCAAGGTCCCTTCCAAAGGGGAGGATCGAGACAGTATAAAGAATAAAATATATTTGGATAGCAAACTTCTCACCCCTGGGAGAGGAAAACAGAATGTGCAAGAAGTAGAAAAGGGGAGAATAAATAAATAAATAAATGTATTTGCTTGCCTAGGTCTATCAATTCCAAAAGGAATACATTGTCTATTTTCTAATGCCTATTAAAAGCAGCTTGTCTTTACATGTTCAGCTTCTTAAAATTGAACAGCTGCCTTAAAAGTGTTTTAAGTAACCCCTGGGTATATAGTAAATCTGTGACAAAGACTTGTTTTCATTCTTATAATCCTTGCCAATGTATTTTGGCTGCCGGTTAATGCCATGCCAATTCAGTTTGGCTACTCCATATATAATAATAATAATAATAATAATAATAATAATAATAATAATAATAATAATAATAATAATAATAATAAACTGCTTCCATCCTGCAACGATATCTGTAATACCATCAAACATCCACATCTGCCTATCCCAGGTCCTGGGTAAGGACTCGATAGGTAGACAAAATGCCAAATCCAGTCTGAACATCTGGCTGACTGTGCGATGATCGATAATAATAACAACAACAACAACAACAACAACAATAACAACAACAATGGTTGTATGGGCAAAGCTTTCCTCCTTCGGATGTGCAAAGGTGTACATTTCTTATGAGTCATATTTGCAGCAGTGAGCACTAGCCAGACCAAGCGTTTCTGAAGGATTGCGTAGTGCTTGATTTGACTTCTTAGAAAGCTTTGTGGGCTACAACTTTCCTGTCTGAAAGGAAGGGGGTAACCTGTGTCCAATTTGTTGAAGGAAAAATCTTTATTAGGGTCCAGTCCAAGCCAGGAATAAACAACATGGCAACTGCTTTAGAAAGAAGGTTGCAGCACATGTAGTAGGGAGTGGGTTTTTATACCTTCTTGGGCTTTGGTTTGGAGTTGTTCCTGTGTCATGAACTTTGACCTGAGTCTAAGTGTGCCTTTTTGGTATACCCTACTCTATACTCTACTCTACTCTACTCTACTCTACTCTACTCTATTCTATTCTATTCTGTTCTGTTCTGTTCTGTTCTATTCTCCTTAGTTCTAGGTTGCTTCTCTCCTTGATGAGTTTCCATCCATTGCTTCTTGTCCTGCCTTCAGGCGCTTTGGAGAATAGCTTGACTCCCTCTTCTTTGGGGCAGCCCCTGAGATACTGGATCACTGCTATCATGTCCCCCCTCGTCCTTCTCTTCATTAAACTAGACATACCCAATTCCAGCAATTGTTCTTTGTATGTTTTAGCCTCCAGTCCCCTGATCATCCTTGTTGCTCTTCTCTGCCCTCTTTCCAGAGTCTCAACATCTTGTTGTTCTAATGGTCAGGAAGTTTCTCCTTAGTTCTAGGTTGCTTCTCTCCTTGGTCAGTTTCCATCCGTTGCTTCTTGTCCTGCCTTCAGGCGCTTTGGAGAAGAGCTTGACTCCCTCTTCTTTGGGGCAGCTCCTAGTTCTTAATATATATTAAAAACTAGACAAATGTGGAAGTCCAAGGATGCTAGGGTAAAGGGAAATTAGGTTCTCTGTGGTTCAAAGTTCCTGCGGCAGGCAAGGGTAAAAATCCAAGCAGGAGAGCAAAGTGGGGGAAGGAGAGCACTTACATACACTCAATTGTACGTTTAATTAATATTCACCCTAATGGAAGACGGTCTGTGATTAAACGCTGACATTTTCCTGGGACAAAGACAATTAAGCACCAAGGTAAAAGAGAAAAAAAGAAAAAGAAAAAAAAAAGAAAGGAATATATGTAATGGGAAAGTTAAGTTTTGAACTTGATCATAGTTAATAGCTCAGGGAGGGGCGAGGAGAAGGTGGGCGTTAATTTAGCTTTATGTCAAATCGTAATTCTCGTCTTTTTTTCCCCCTTTCAAATCCAGCTGCGTTTTGCCGGTGCCAAATGGCAAAAAAAAAAAAAAATAGAGTTTTTTGAAGTTTTCTGAGCTTCCTTTGAGCTGCTTTTTAAAATGCTGGGTTTTTTTAAGTCACCAACTTACAACTGTTTGTTTAGTGACTGTTCGTAGTTACGACGACATTGGAAAAAGGGACTTAACGATCGATTTTCACACTTAACGACCGTCACAGCATCTCCCACAGTCACGCGATCAAAATTCAATTGGCAACGGGCCTGCACAGGCAGTCCTCGACTTACGACCACAGCTGAGCCCAACATTTTTGTCGCTGAGCGAAATGCTTGTTCAGTGAATTGTTGTCCCGTTTAACGACCTTTCTTTCCACAGTCGCTAAGTGAATCGCTGCAGTTGTTAAGTGAGTCACACGGCTGTTAAGTGGATCTGGCTTCCCCCAGGGACTTTGCTTGTCGGAAGGCCACGTGACCCCAGGATGTTGCAACAGTGCTAGGTACATGCCAGTTTCCAAGCATCTGAATTTTGATCACGTGACCAGGGTCGTAAGTGTGAAAAACGATCTTAAGTCCCTTTTTTTCAGAGCCATGGTGACTTCGAACGGTCACTAAACGAACTGTTGTAAGTCGAGGAGTACCTGCATTTATGACGGTTTCGGTGACCCTCTTTTGTGACCTCCAGACAAGCAAAGTCAATGGAGAAGCCGGATTCACTTAACAACCGTGTTACTAACTGAACGGCGGAAGGGACCTTGGTGGTCATCTAGTCCAACCCCTTGCTCAGGCAGGAAACCCTATACCATTTCAGACAAATGGCTGTCCAGTCTCTTCTTGAAAACTTCCAGTGTTGGAGCATTCACCGCTTCTGGAGGCAGGTAGTTCCACTGGTTAATTGTTCTAACTGTCAGGAAGTTTCTCCTTAGTTCCAGGTTGCTTCTCTCCTTGATGAGTTTCCCTCCGTTGCTTCTTGTCCTGCCTTCAGGGGCTTTGGAGAAGAGCTTGACTCCCTCTTCTTTGGGGGCAGCCCCTGAGATATCCCCATTAAGAAAACCATAGATTTCACACAAAGCTTTCAGCCAGACTATTTAACAATCTAATCGCTTTATTATTTATTTATTTATTTATTTATTTATGAGACTTATATACCGCTTTAAGTGCAAGCACTCTCTAAGCGGTGTACACCAGTAAGCAATGTATGTATATATTTACATTGCCCCCAACAATCTGGGTCCTCATTTTACCTACCCCGGAAGGATGGAAGGCTGAGTCAAACTTGAGCCGGTGAGATTTGAACCGCTGACCTGCTGAACACAGTCAGCTAAAGTGGCCTGCAGTACTGCACTCTAACTGCTGCGCCACCTCGGCTCTTATTAGCCTGCTACATTAAGCTCAGACAACTTTTAATCTTGATTCTCTCTCTTTTTTTAAAAAAAAAATTGGCCTTAGCATGTTGCCTGAATCTGACTCACTCTGTTAATTTTTCACGGAGCATATTGTACAAGTCCAAGGTTAATTTACCCACTCAAGGTTAAACATCTTGACTGTTGCAGCCAGTGAGGAGTGGAAGAATTTGAGGCCGTTAACGGATTATAAAATTAGAATCTGCAGGGTGAAAATTAGAGTTTGAGCTTTGGAAAGGAATCTGGATAGGTAGTCCTCGACTTACGATCACAATTGGGACCGTAAGGTCTGTTGCTAAGTGAAGCAGTCATTAAGTGAGTCACACCCAATTTTATGACCTTTCTTGCTGCAATTGTTA